CGCGGATGTGAACCGCCATTTCGGCTCCTGAGGGAGTTACGCTGCTGTGGATGATCATTATTGCTGTGAGATTGTGAGCCGATTGCACTCCTATGTGTATGCTCCTTAGGAGAAGGGTTATTTGGAACCATTTCAACACCTTGACCAGCTGAGGATTGATGCTGGGGAAGACCTCCATTAGAGGAGGCACCTGCATTATTTCGTTTCATAGGTCTCTGGCGCGCAGGTCCAGTATGGTTTGGAGTTGAAGACGAATTCACTTGTTTCGGTGATGAGGTAGGTGTGGTTCCAGTCCCCTATACCACACACATCAAGGAATATGAATGTACATATGCACATAGAAATAACCTAATTAACTGATATAGGGAACATAAACTATAGTACAAAAACCAAATACAATACCCTCCATTAAGGTTAATGAAATTTGCTTTAAAAATATAATTTTTCAATGACTCAAACGATCAGAACCAGTAATTCAAGATATACTTTCCACTTACTTTCCTTCTTTCTCTATGCATAAGAAAAACTGTCACTTATGCAATTACCCAAATTTTCTCACAAACGAACATGCTCACTATAAAATAGCACCATTCAAATGCAGAGAAGTATAATGCATTGCTTGATTATAGTAAAATCAACAAAAAAATAGTATATCAGCTTAAATCGTATAGCTTTTTATGTTCTTCTCAGCAACCAAACAATATCAGAGAGATTCAAGGAAGAAACCTGCGACACGGAGACAGACAAAGGCGGTTCCGATACACCTTTGAGTGGTTCCGGAGACAATTTCGTCGATGCCCGAGCCGACTCGGACAGGGCTGGCCAAGAAACAGCTCCCATTACAGGCCCAACCTCGACGGCCCCATTCGAGGGCTTGTTCCAAGCTGGCCTCTTACCCGCATTGCCGTTCTCGGAGCCCTCACCCACTGACTCCTCCGCCGGAGGAGGCGAAGACGAATTCGACTGAGAAGCAGAGTTAGACTGAGACTGAGAAGACGAAGAAGAAGAAGGAGGGGGAGGAGGAGGCGCAGCAGCGACAGCTGGCTCAGTCACAGCCGTCGACGGAGACGAAGGAGCGACCGCGATCGGTTCAGATTCTCCCCGCACGATTTGGGTCCACGGAGATGAGACCGCCCTGGCGGCGCGGCGCGATTGGGTGGTGGGGCTGCTGACACTCTCGCCGGCGTGACGCGGCGATTGTACGGCCGGGTACGACGCCGTTTCTGGATTGCTGCTCTTATTCGCGGAGTTAATCATGGCCATAACAAGCAAAAGCTAGGGTTAGCGAGCGCGAGAGAGAGTCGACGAGTTGATCGACGAGGAGGGGAGGGGCAAAATGGGGATAGAGTGATCAAAATTTCAGCGGACTTAGAGCGATAATGGAGAAGTGATTAGGGTTTCAGAGCAATGTGAGGGCATAAATTAGGGTTCCAAAGATTTGGGGGCGATCGGATCGCAGAGAAGAAGGAGAGAGCAGAGAGAGAGGTGAAGAAGAGCGAGCGAGCGAGTGCTCTCTGATTTCTCTCTCTTTGGGGCGTGTGTTTGTGTGTTTCTTCTTGTTCTCGTAGTTGCTTAGCCTTTGGGCTTTGCGCTGTGAGATTTCCTGGACGCCCAGGTTTTATACGTATAAGATTACTTAAATACCCCTTCTACCGTACCCGCGGGGCAGCTTTGCCTTCCTGTGTTTGTTTAGGTCATCCACACAACACCTGAGTTACATGGGATTCAGGATCAGGAATGCAAATACGACTAGGACTCTCCTTTTAACTTTTTACTAGACTTGATCTATTTTTTATACCATTACTTGCCTAATTACAGCTCTACGTGGAGGCAACTTCTTGACCCAATAGGATTAGGACACATCATCGAATGCACAATGTGATGGATATTCTTTTGGTGTGTCTCATTCATATTGGAGATTAGTGCTTTTAAATCGCTTTCAACCAAGTTATAGAGTGATTAGATCTGATTATAGAATACTACATTAGTATGGTCACGTGCTACATATTGTATACGTGTTATAAATGATAATATAAGTGGATCTTTATTGATACTATTTCCTAAAATAGGGAAAATAAATCATGTCATCCATACATATTATAACACGTATACAAGATATATTACGCGACCATATGGTAATTTCTCTTATCTATCAAAATTGGTAGCATATCCTACTTCAATGTCTTTCCAAATTTTTAGTTCATCGAAAAAATATTTTTCCATATTTATAAATTGACATACATCACTTACCTTCTTTGGATTTATAAAAATGAAGAAATCTAAAAACTTCAGGTGGAAAAAGTAAAAAAAACACTTGGGATTTAGAGATAAAAAATGATGACTTTAAATTTTATCTAAATAGAAATCTAAAGAGTAAACAAAAATAGAAAAAACAATGCCTTCACGACTATTAACTACTATCATTCATTTATACATTAATTCCTCTAAAAAAACCTAAACATGAAATTCCGTGTTCAAATCTCGTTATTCTTATAAGTCGGTCAAACAAACTAAACTTCCACTAATTCTACATCAAAGTCCCACCATTTTGTCTGACCAACAAACATAAGAAAAGTCCCATCACGTTGAAATTCCCTGCCACCAGCGTAGGTAGGAATAGGCTCTCGATCAAGAGCTGAACTAAATTGTGGTAAATTTGGACCAACCTTATTAAAAAGAAGAAGAAAGAAAACATGAATGTTTCGATGAGTCTGCGAATCTGTCTGGTTCTAAGTATATTGATTTGTTAAATGGTTCTACTTCTCAGGAGCAAAAACCTGAGCAACCGATGACAGAGACTGTAATTCCAAGTGAACAAACCTGTTCCTCCCATGACTTAAGCTCCAAAATTCAATTCAAACAACGTTAACTCAAGACCATTTGAAAAATATCAACCTCAGCTGCTGTCTTCTTTGTATGATAAGGTGGCTACAAAATAAGCATTCCCAATGAATGCGAATGGTCCCCAACACCCTTCAGCGAAAAAATTCAATTCTATATTGATTTTGTAGGAAACTCGCATTTGTAAATGAAAGGTCAAAGAAAGAACCAACACGCAAGAAACTGGCATTTGTAAATGGGAGGGAGTTTGAGTTTGAAGTGATTACTTTACAAGTTATAATGGAAAGTTACAATGGCAAAAGGATGACCGGGCAAGGAATGAACTCTGCAAGCAGGTTTGCATCAACATGCTTGGAATGAATTGCTTCCATGCTTATAACAACTAAATCCAAATTCAGGTCATCAGCAACCTCGCCGATGATGGCTGTCGGCTTGTTCCCTTCCCCAAGTCGCTCTAGCAGCTTGTAATCTTTGAACCCACCTATCAGTCATTTTTTTAAGGGGTTACAAGTAATGTTAGTGTTAAAGATGCTGCTCTAAACATATACAAATCATAAGTAGATCAACAATCAATTATTTTACAAACATACTTAAAAAATTTCACAAACCCTATTCTTTGAAGTAGTAAATTTTGCCAACAACTGCATACGATATTCTTACAACACAATAATAAAAACATGATGCCTAGATCCTCTTCTACATTCAAGAGTTTTTGACAAATTAGCATAGCCCCCCAATAATACAGTATTATAGTCACTTCTTTCTAAGAAAAAATGCAACTTGAATCAAGATTTGATGCTTCAACCCTATTCTAGTACTTGAACTCCCTTCAAGCATCAAACTTTCACCTAAGGTTGTACTTTTACTAAAAATTGGATATATTAGGGGGCTAAATTTTGGCCCTTTTTGCCAAAAACTTCCCATTCAATATCAGAGTTATCAACTAGCAAATCACCCCTTCGGTTTTCTAATGAAATATGACAATGTGGCTCCTTTTCCATTCCCATTCTTCTCTATGCATGTTTTGATTCAGTCAGTATAATTTAAACATTTAACTTATTGTGAAAAACTGCATACAATCAAAATAACACCCCCGGAAAACCCAATCGGCACATCTGTACATGCAAACATAGTGTGTACGCCTTCGTTCCTTTGTTAATTCACATCTCAATCAGTCCTCACATTTCAAAACATATCGATTGAAAGTTGAAACCTTCCATATTGCACATAAAAATGTAAGAGCATATATACAGCACACAAACCTTCAGAGAGATGCCAGCGGATAGTAGAAAGTTGGGTTTCATGTTGCGGTAGAGACTCCTTCTCCTTCTCATCGATAACTGCAAACAACACAAAATCCTATATTTCTAGACTAGGCATATCGTATCAAAATTCAAAAAGGGTCTGTACAGTGAAAAAGGCTATACCTTGTGCTTGATTTCCACACCATATATAAACAATCTAAAAGCAGAGAGGTCAGTGGTCAATCAGTAAACATACCCACAACTGTAATGTCAGCTCCATACTTGTTTGCCAAAGCAGCAGCAGTAGCTATGGCCTGGAGAAAAATAAAAATTCAACTTTTTTGCATGCATCAGACACAGAAGCAGCCATGGAAATTATGTGGGTCAAAATTACCTGTCTTGTTCCCTCGGAGAGATATGGGTTCCCATCGACGATGGGCAGAAGCAGATGCTTGAAATGGGTACTGGCATCTGCAGCTGTACTGACTTGAGGCTCTTGCGGCTCAGCCTGTGCTGATGGAGAGTGAAAGTATTTACCATTATGCCCCAACCGTTTGAATCTGGAAAATATGGAGAGATTGCGAGGTTTGAGAGGAGGAGGAAGAGAAAGAGAGAGAGACTCAGAAGAAGAAGGTGGTTTCAGAATTGAAGTCTTTGCGTGCTTTGTGGTTTCGACAGGAATGGTTACTGGGTAGTGAGCAAAAGCCATTGGAGAACTAGGAGAGCTCCGAGTTGACGAGTTCACTCACTGAAGCAGAGGAAGAAGATGATGAAGATAGGGGTGCTTCCAGAAAGCGCTATCAAAGTTCGACTTCAAAAAAAAAAAAAAACCGACTTCAAAATTGATGTTGGTTTTGGATAATTTTAATTGGGCCTTGTTGGCTTCGGCCCATTGGACCTTCAGTGTACCCATAACTTGCTTTCACAGCTCACTTCGTTCCTCTGTTACGAACTTACGACTTCTCACAGGCAGCGAATCTATGGAACGCAGTGACTCGGCCGATACTCTTATGACGACGGTGTCTCGTCATCATTTCGGGGATGAAATGGACGAACCGGCCTTCTCCATCTCTATCATCGAGAACATGAAGGAAGACTATGGTCTGTTCGTGTGGCCCTGTAGCGTGGTCCTAGCGGAGTATGTTTGGCAACAGAGATTGCGCTTTTCCCGAGCCGGCGTGGTAGAGGTTGTAAAATGTACATGTTATCCTTATCCGGGTTTAATCTTTTTCTTTGCTTGTTAATTAATTATTAATAATTACTGGGTTAGTTTGCAGCTTGGTGCTGGAACTTCCTTGCCAGGTTTGGTTGCAGCCAAAGTTGGTGCTGACGTCACTCTCACTGATGACTCGAGTAGATTAGAGGTGTTGAATTTCAATTAAATTTTTTTTTTTAAATTTCTGTTCAAATCTTAAATCAGTTTCTTCTTTCTTATTTGCTTGAAAGCTCAGTTATCTTTATGATGGCCATTGGTTAGAATATATGTTGGGAAATGTTATGATTTATGTTACTTTTTGCTTAAAAATCCCACTGAAATAATTTTAATTTTAATTTTAATCAAGGAATGCATTTGAGTTTTGGTACGTTGCCGAATTTCGATTTTTTTGATTCAGAAGTATAATTTTGCTATGAACTGCCTGCTTTGGTCCCAATTGACCCTTAAAGTTGATAAAGAATCTTCATTTTCTTTGCTACTTCAGTTACTTAGTTCAGACTTGTTATTTCTTCTCCAAACAACGTCTCTGTTTTAAATGGCTATAATTAGCGATTTACGGCATTGTTGTTTTGCATCTGCAGGTGCTGGACAACATGAAACGAGTGCTTGACCTTAATAAACTTGAGTGCAATGTAATTTCCATCAACAGACTAAACTCCGTTTCTTATTTGCGTATCGCCTAATAAGATGATGTTAATTGTATCTTCCTTTTGTGTCACCATGACCATGTTTATCTTGTTAGGAGATCTAGTTCTGTTTTCAGGTACTGGGATTGACATGGGGAGTTTGGGATGCATCTACATTCAGTTTACATCCAAAATTTATTCTTGGGGCTGATGTGTTATACGATGCTAGTGGTAGGGTTATTATTATCTACTAGTTTTTTGTTTTTGTTTTTTCTCATTTTTCCCTCTTACCATCTCGATCACTTAACTTGAGTTGAAATGTGGATTTTGTTTGTGTTGTTAAGCCTTCATAACAACTTACCATAATCGAAGGTATTTTCATCTGCTTTGGTTTCTAATGTTATTTCAACTCTATAACATGTGCACATGTAGTATGCGCATAGCACTGCTGGAAACGAACTCTCTCTTATTTTCTTACTCTCTGAAAACACTTCGTATGTATAATGTGCAGTGGACATCATCTGATTGAGTTTTTGATGGTCAAATGGGGGTTGAAGTGTGTGAAGCTTCTTGATGCCTTTTCATTTATGCCATCCCACAAGGCGTCCGGGCTAAGCGGCAACCTTCAGTTGGCAGAGATTGTTCTGGATAGTCAACGGGCTGAGATACCGGTTTTGCATTAGCAGTGTGGCAATGCAGTAATGCCGCCACTCGGACTTGCATTAAGACTGCTCGTCACTGTTGGAACTCTGCTGCAGCAAGTTCAGTAGTCCAGTTGATTGAGCGCACTGTAATGGAGGACATCATTTGTTCATCTTTATTAAGAGTTGGGTCAACATAGACAGATTTCAAGTTTCACAAAAGAAAGTATTGTTGCCCTTCAAACCAATATTTATAATAACTTTGTATTTATAATAGCTTTTGTTATAACAAGATCCTTACAAACATTATGAATTACAGCAGACAAACAATTTCTCTCTGAAATCTCTCAAACAAAGAAAGATAATAACAGAGAACCATCTTATTTGATGGATTTTTCAGCTCTCTGGTTTTAAATTTGACTACAACTAAGATTGGAGGCCCTCAATTAATTTACCATCCTGCAGTCTTTCCTGACCTCTTGTCCACCTGTAATGCTACTCATCTTAATCATAGAATTCGCAAAAGCATCTAAGAAAGCTTCCTTTGAAGTAGCAAACTTAGTAACCAAATTTTTGGTCTTTGGAAAACTAAGCAGAGCTTGGTCTGAAGAAAACAAGCTCTTCCCCTGGAGGATCAACTTGAAGTATGTGTTATCAAAAGTTGTTGAAGAAGGATCCATGGTAGCGCCAGCGTTTTTCGGCCTGTTGTTGATGGGACATGTATTCTTTAAGCTTGCTGCAAAGGATGGTTGCAGTGAAGGATCGACGTCGTGTGTGGCATTGAAGTTGTGGATTCTGTTTTGGAAAGATGAGCAGTGAGAGAACCCTAGAGTGTGACCTCCTGCAGATGTGTCAATAGTTAAGCTCTCCATTTCTTCTTGAGATAAATGAAAAATATGAAATTGCAATTGGGATATTGAAGTTAGTTTACCTGAAAGAGCCACCAGGTCATTCAAGGACAGACCTCTCTGAGAGAAGCTCTGCTGCAGTTGAGATATGTTGAAGGTTGGAGCTGGCAATTGTCTGGTTTCAGTAGCCTTTGATGTTCTTCCATCTTTTCTTCCTTTTGGCACATCCCAGTTTGGACCTCCAGACTGCAAAGATTAATAGTACAATCAGAAACAGCAAGAACTTTTTCTTGTCATTTTTGTTTAAAACCAGTTGTGAGGACTGTTTCTTGCTTACTTGCACAACAGCATCCCTTGCAGCTAGAGCCAAGATATCAGCACATGAGACCACACCAGGGCAGGAAGCCTCCACTTGTTTCTTTGCATTGTCAATGACATAAAATGCATGCAAAGAAATATTTGGTGGCCCATCTTTCTCTGCTTGGTTGCTCCCTTTGGAATTTAACAACACAGAGGCATCACAACCCTGCAAAAACAAAGGAAAAAGTTTCAGCTAACTCAACCAGTGCATTTAAACTGTCAAAACAACTTGTACAGAAAAAATATACATATGTACCCTTATGAAACAGTCATGGAAATGCATCCTGAGCAGAGCAGCCGGGACAGTTCTGTCATTAGCTGCCGCTTTCTTGACAGCATTTGAAACGATTTGCTCAACGTTAGGACAGCTCTTATCGTAATAATTCGAGCTCAGTGCAGTAATCACCGGGGAAAAGGCTGAAAGGATGATGAGGATTGTGCTCAAGAATGCAAGATTAAAAGCCATCCTTACAACTCTCTTTCTTAACTCTTTGTAACTTTGTTTAAGTGTGGGAACTAACAATGGATTAGAGTGGTATTTATAGATGGAGAGGGAGAGAGATTGTTTACTGGTACAATGTTGGCCCCATATAATGAATTAGTTAAGAAAGTATGCTTAGAAGTAATAATGAAGGCAATGCATATGCACCTTCACTACAAGACAATCACCATTCCATCTGTCCTTGCACCTTGAAATCTCTCTTTATTTATTTTAATTTATTTTACTAAGAAAGTTACCATCAGTATCAGACAGCAAAAGTGATCTCAATAATTTCTTGATATTAATTTCAAGGTGTTCATCATCAAGCATGGCTCATGTCTCTCTATAATTACCTCTTGCTAGCTAGGCTATATTATTGAAATGCAGTTTCAATGAGTCAATCATTTAAAAGGATGAAGTTAAAACTTTCCTCTCTGAACAGAAAGGATTCTCAATACCAAAAAGAAGCAGAAGATTCTGCATTGGAAGCATTATTCCAATCCAACAATTACAACAAATATTCTCAAATAAAAAAATCGATTATAAAACCCTTCTGCATGGTATGGTAGGTGCTCCTAATTCAGTATCTTCCCTTTTTAAAAGGCTACGCATGCATCAGCAAGTTATAGCAAACAGTTCTCTCTTTCACATATACATATATATATAACATCGGACGTCCGCATAGGAGAATTTCTGTATTATTAAACCCTTTTTTCAACTCTTGATGTGAGACAAAGAGAACCAATAATTCTGCTGCTTTAGCAGAAAAAGGAACGTCTCTGATCTGAAGTGGGTAGGGTTGAGCAATCAAAAGTTGTTATTTTTATGGTCAAGTTTGCTCTCAAAGTCTCATGCTTTATTAGTTATAGTGGGTGCTGGCTTATCTCATCCATTCATGCTTGCTAATTTGTACGTGAGCCTCCGCCTGTCATGTTCCAGACATAATTAACTAACTTCAGTTGCCCCCAACAACCATGCCCCAAAATCTTTTCATTTTCTCATAATATAAGTAAGGGTACTTTAGGTGAATGCTGGATTACTTAGCCAACCTAATTCCCAGAAATCCTTTAAGTCTGGCATGATTGGTTGCAGCATTTTGGTCAACGGAGTTTTGACTATATTTTATAATTTTGAGGCTTGAAGTACAGCAGGCTATAAAACTAGGGCTTAGAGGTTAGTAGAAATCCTAACAACTTGTGCCAAACTTAATCCAATTATTATATTCCATTCAAATTAGTTAGTGTTTATCTGGTTTGGTGGGTTGAGTTTAGTCACACGCTTCTGTGTATATATATATATATATAAAATAGTAGTAAACCGGCAGACACTGTTTTTTTCTGTAGCAGTCTTGCAGGCTTATCTTAAAATAGCAAACATAATCGACCATTGACCAAATGAACTTGAATAAATAAAAACATACCTCCTGGCCTCTCTTGGGTCAAGTTAGAGATTGAATTGTGTTCTCATAGAAAAATATTTGGAAACCTTAAACAAAACTTGTACCAAATTGTCAAATGCTTAGCTTGAAACTCTGATGTTGTGTCCATGAGTGAAATTGTTAAGTCGGTAATTGGTCGAGCGGTTTTATCATTATGTCTAGATTTACAGTTTAGTAGTGTAAACATTTTATGTTGTCAGACTATGAATGCTAACTATTCATCTTAACACAATCAATTAATGAATTTTAATATAGTATATAATGCATCAACGACGGACAACCAGTTAAAGAAAAAGGAAAAATTAGAATTTGGAGTTGGAGTTGGAGTTGGGCTTCAACTAGAAAGAGAAATTTAGAGTTGGGCTTATATGACATTGGGCTCAGCAGATATCCAAGGTCCACCTCAGAACTGTTTCTAATTTTTGTTGTAAAAAAACCCGCGATGTTAAACCCTAAGGAAGAGAAGAACGTTAAGCCCCTGCAACGCCACGACACCGCTGAACTGAAACCGAGCAACGGCGAAAGCTTAGCCTAGACCATGGGATCCAATAAGAAGAACAAGAAGAGCAAGAACAAGAATGAAAAATCCAAAGGCAGCGATGAGAACCTCATCACTGACTCTCGGTTTTCGTCCGTACACTGGGACCCTAGGTTCCAGAACGTTCCGAAGCACAAGGCGAAGGTGGAGATCGACTCGCGATTCGATCGCATGTTCTCGGACAAGCGATTCGGCTCTTCCTCGGTCCCGCTAGACAAGCGAGGCAAGCCGAAGAAGCTCGACCAAGGGAATTCGCTGCGCCATTACTATAAAATCGAAGAGGACGAAGATAAGGTAAATTCCGAAGTGAAAAAGAAAGAGAAAAAGATTGAGGAAGAGGAAGAAGAAGAGAGTGAGGAGTTGGAGGAACTCGGTGGAGAGGAATCGGAGGATGACGTGGCGAGTGGTGACTCGGATACGACGACGGACACAGACACGGATGATGAATATGAAGAAGAAGAAGTGGTTTTTGAGGACGCTGAGCCTGGAATGGAGGTATTTATTATTATTAAGATTTAATGAATTGAAATTTGGAAGAAAAGAGATCATTGAGTAGAAAATGTTGGTTAATTTTGGTTACTTGATTCTTCTTTGTGCGGGCAGGCGGAAGATGTACCAGAAATTGATAAGGAAACTCACAGGCTTGCTATTGTTAACCTGGATTGGAGGCATGTTAAGGTTGCATTTTTTAAACTTGGCATCGAATTCATTTTCATTATATATGTATTCAAGTGGCACATAGTAAAAGCATCAAAATTTAAATTTGTTAGTTTTCTGTAATTGGGTCTGGAGATGGAGATTGTGTTCTCAGTACTGACCATTTTTATTGTTCGAAGAAATATGAGTACCAAATGAATTGTCATATAATATACTTTGTGTTAAGTTGTTTGAGTAAGAGTCTTTTGAGTTGAAGACTGTTAATTTTTGTGTAAGCTTCCTCTTTGTGGAGATTTGCTGGTAACTGAGTGTTTTGTTGTGTTTCGTGTAGGCTGTTGACTTGTATGCGGTGTTGAGGTCTTTTCTCCCGAAAGATGGAGAAATGAAGTCTGTGGCTGTCTATCCATCTGAGTTTGGACTCCAGCGTATGAAAGAGGAAGAACTTCATGGTCCTGTTGGCCTATTTGATGATGAAAATGAGAAAAGTGATGAAGATGAGGACGACGATGATGATGAGCTTGATGCTCAGAAATTGCGTGCTTATGAGAAAAGCAAGCTAAGGTGGTTAATTATGCTTATTTCATAGTTATTGTTTGTTGTATGTTTTTAAATTATATGTTTACTTATATATACCTTATTTTTTTCTTAGGTACTATTATGCTGTAGTGGAATGTGATTCAAGTGCCACAGCAGATTACCTTTACAAAAATTGTGATGGAGTTGAGTTTGAACGGTCATCAAATAAACTTGATTTAAGGTTTATCCCTGATTCAATGGAATTTCAACACCCACCCCGTGACGTTGCAACAGAGGTATATGTTCCAACCATTTACTTATAAGTTTATATAGAGTTTGAGCAATAGATTTTTATATGCTAATCTGTCTGTAGTAAGAGAAGTAGGGATTATGTGCAAATGATGGCTCTTCATGCTTCTTTATGGAGTCTGAAACTTTTTTATTAACAAAAGGAAATTAATTGAATTTTTTTTGTAAAATGTAGCAGTGATTGTGAAGTCTTTGGCTTTTGTTAGGTACCTGCAAACTATGTGGGTTTGGATTTCCAGACTCAAGCTCTGCAACAGAGTAAAATTGATATTTCTTGGGATGAGGATGACCCAGGACGTAAGACCTTGAAACGGAAATTCACTGACGATCAGGTCAGTTGATTTTATCTGAGTGGTAGAAATGCTTGCATTTTATGTAATTTGTTAGTAGGGTTCATATCTTGCTCCATGCTTGAGGACCTGAATAAACATTTGCTACACTTATCTGAATGGGCGTTATGTTACACTTATCTGAATAAACAATAGGAATTGCAAAGATGATGGGAAGAGCAACTGAAGAACTATCAACTCCAATTTGTATAAAAATAATAATAAGTAACTACTTCATGTACTTTTTGCTTCTAACTGATATGATCTTTGGTTTGTTTCTAGCTTTCTGAATTGGAACTGAAGGAGTTTTTGGCATCTGATGAGAGTGAAAGTGATGAGGATGAGAATGATGATGCTACAGAGGACAAGTCCGATAAAAAGAGTAAAAAACGAGATATGTACCGCACTTTAATCCTGTCTGGAAATGGAGAGGGAGATGCTTCAGAAGGAGATGGTGAAGGTGAAGACGATGACAAGGACATGGAGATCACATTTAATACGGGCTTAGAGGATATAAGCAAGCGCATTCAAGAAAAGAGAGATAAGGAATCAGAAACAGTTTGGGAGGCCTATCTCAGAAAAAGACGTGAGAAAAAGAAGGCTAGGAAAAACAGATCTAAGGATTCATCAGAGGATGAGAGTAGCGACACTGATCGAGAGGCAACAGAAGATGCAGATGATTTCTTTATTGAAGAGCCTTCAGTCAAAAAAAGTAAAAAGGGTTCTCAAGGTAAAGGTAAAAAAGGAGATAAAGAAAACCAAGATACGGATAGGGAAGCAGAAGCAAGCAGAAACGAGCTTGAGTTATTACTTGCTGATGACAAGGGAGCAGATACAGGTCTTAAGGGCTACAATTTGAAACGTAAAAAGACTAAGGGAAAGAAGGGTAAAGAAGTTCAAGAAGAGGACAATATACCAGCTGTTGATTACGAAGATCCACGGTTTTCAGCCCTCTTCACGTCTCCCCGTTTTGCTCTGGATCCAACAGATCCACAGTTCAAAAGGTATCTACCTCTTGTTTTACTTATTATTTGGCAAAACATTTGTTTCTATCATATAAGTTGATATCTTAACAAAATCCAAATTATTGCTCTCCTTTGTTTTCCATACTCCCAAAAGAGGGCTCCAATAGTTGCCCTAATATGTGTCACTTCACTTTTGGCTGTCATGTTATATACATTTGTGGTTCGGTGTTGCAGGAGTGCAGCCTATGCTCGGCAGTTGGCATTGAGACAGCAGAAGGGTGACCAAGAAGAAGTGGTAGAAAGGGAAGTAAAATCTGATGTCTTGCGGTCAAAGATAGAGAAATCGTCATTAATCAGATCAATAAAGATGAAAGCCAACCCCTTTGATGGTAAGATGTCAAAGAAAGAAGAAAATTTGCAATCGAAAGGGAGAAAGGAAAAGAAAGATAAGCAGGAGGCCCCAAGCTTGGTTGAACCAGTTAAGAAAAAGAAAAAGACCAAAGCTTAACGAAAATGAAGGCATTGTTAAAATTGAGAGGAGTCTTATTGCTGCCTGAAACATCATGCAAATGAATGGATCTTTGAAGGGGTGGAGGCCATAACCAACCATGCCTGCTCGGGTCCGACCCATGAGACAGTTGAGTTGTTGTTGTTCTAATTATCGTCAAATTCTTTTTCTTCAAATTGAAGAATATTGTCAACTGTGAAGGTTTTTATTTAAAAAAATATAGGCGTTGGCTTGAGGAACTAAATTTATTCTCTGTAGAAGACAGTTCTTTTTTTTGTTATGTTTGTTTTTTGGTGAAGGTAAATGTGAGTTTTGGTTCAATTTCCATTGTTATACATATAAGACTGCCTGAAAAAATTTGTTTTACTTATTCGTACTTCCATAATTCCATTGGTTGAAAATGATTAGCACGTTAAATAAGAGACCAAAAACGATATTTATTTATCTGTAGGAAAAAAAATATTTGTTCCCTATGGTCATAACTAAAATCATATGTACAACCCCATGTTTCCATCAGTATCAATTGTGTACCAAAAATAGGAAGTCGACATCTGCCAATTTTCTGTATAGTATACCTCAAACAAATGCCTATGGATACATATGATACAGGGCTGAGAAAACCTCAGCAACAAGAAAGAATAATCAAACCATGGCAAAGAATACAAAAAGAACCATGGTGAGTGCACAAGCAAAAGAGTTCAACTTGGGTGAATGATTTGGTGGTGGTATATGAGAAGTGTTGGTACTCCCTGCCGTGGCTTCCGGATTGATGGTAGCGCTAGGGGATGCGGCCGGAGATTTGGATTTAGTGACAGGAAGAGTGACGGTGTCCTCAACATTATAACCTGAAAAATAAAAATAAAATAAAAGGATCACACTGTCACTGAAAAAGATCATGAAGAAAATTTGTTTGCCAAAATTTCATTCAAAATGTGGAATTAGGACTCACAATCGGACTCCTTCCAACCCAATACCATCCTCTCACGGTCAAAAATTACACGATAGCCCGTCATGAAGTTTTCTGCATGAAAAAATCCACATTGTGAGCAAAAGTTAATTCAAACATAAACAAATATATTTGAATGAGAGTGATCGTTAAAATATCTCTTTAAGGGTGTTGGATTTCTTCAAGCAGTATCTTAATCAGGGTTTGACAATTCTCAGAATTGCATACTATCGTACCATTTGGAATACAGAAAAGGAAAAAACAACCTTAACTTGAAAGATAATCAAAAGTTATTTAGAAAGAGATGGATGCTTACGTCCAATGATATTTACATCTCCACTTTTGACAATGCCCAGACAATAAAACATTAGTGTTCCATCCTGGGGATCAGAAAAGGAAAGTTTAGCATGACATGGTGCAGGACCAGGAAAAATAGACATGCTAGAAGTCGAAACTTACTTCATTAGCAAGAACCACTAGCGGATCAAGCAAAGAATATTGCTTTCCACCTTTCAGCGTCAAGTTCACTGTTTGATTTGGCCTGCACATAAGCTTAAGTCAGTGCCTGACGGTTCGGAAAAGAGAGAATCGAAACAAAGTTTTTGTCGTTTGATAGAAATATAACCTTATATCATAACAGTATTCAAACGGGATGCTAGAATCCTTCGATTGCCGCTTGTTTTTTAGTGCGCTGTTGAACTGGAAAATGAGAAACAATTACAAGGACTGATATAGTAAATCAGAAAATCGAGAAAACATTATGAAACAATGAACTGAAACTACTTACATTCTCAGTAATCTTTGTGTAAGCTGGATCATTTAGGTATGTAAATGAGGTACCAGAGTCAAAAATTGCATAGAATTCAAGATCGGTAGCACTTTCTCCAATAGCTATTTGAGTAATGGTAATGTTGTAAGTTGGACTGTGACAAGTTCGACAGGGGAAGATTAGTACAACTTGCATGATATTCAAAACCAAAGCAGTTCACTTGCGAAACTAGTAAACTTGTCATCAACATATGGATATTTAAAGGGGCCACTTACTATGCACTCCTATTTTTAAGATTGAATGGCGTTTCAGCTTGGTCTAAGCTTCCATTATCACCAAAGCTAATTCTCCCATATCCATCAAGTCTGAAACACATGGAAAAAGAATTTGAAGCAAGCCCCTGGCTCGCTAAAATGCTAGGAACGGATACATCATCCATACCAAGCCCTAATAGACCGTTCGGAGCTGCACCATTCAAAAATATTCCAGTCTGCTCCTTACCACAACTGCAAAACAGTAGCACCAACATCAAAAGTATCCTATACAAGTTACAATTGGCACATCTAGGAATAATATAAACATCATACTCTCAAATGCAGATTTCAAATATCCTTTTATTGGCAAAGCAATGAAAAAATTACCCACCCAAAACCAATCCGTGCATTAACATCTTTTTGTTTCGCATCGTCAGTGGTTAGGTGCAAAACATCCTCTACCAGGACCCCCGTAGATGAGGTGTCATTCGACAGATACTCAATCTTGTATTGACAATCACTAGCTGCTGAAGCGCAGTGTTGTCGTTGTTCACAATATGTGCTGTTGCAAGAAACCTTTTTGCTTGTTGACGACGTATTAGGGCTGTAGATTTCAAATTCTATTACCTGGTTCATAAAAAGTATACAAAAAAGTAATGGTCAATGAAATGAACCACCAGAGCATGTTTCATTGAACCAAATGCAATAACAATGTTTACCTGTCTGGTAGAAAGTTTTGGATACTGCAAGAAGCAGCTTAATAGTTTTTTATGGTATAATAAAACAATGTTATCTTATTGCACATTTTTAAGTTTTTTAAATTTGCATTCCTTCATGATCAAGAAATTCTCACCCTAAAGATGAGAACTTGAACTTATTTATTGCAGTTCAAATTTCACAAAAAAAGAAGAAGACACATTTAATCTTTTTAAGTCATCCTTCCTCCTAGCCCTTACATTAAAAAAACCAACATAACACTGAAGTCCATTTGAAGTAATTACAAGTCAAAAGACTTCAAGTAACCAAATTTTCAGGAGAAAAGGTAGCAATTTCCCAAGCTGTATAAGATTGAAGGAAAAAAAACTGAGTAATTCAGCTCACTTACATCTCCATTTGAGAGCTTTACGCCATGCACGCAACTGCTACAATCACATGGCAACCAGAGCAAATCACTGCCCGTGTCTAAGGCCACAAGGTATGATGTGCTTGGTGTCCCCACAGAAACATTCGCATAATGCAAACTGAAATTCAACAACAACAACAATAACAAAAAAAATTAAACGCTGGAAAAAGTGAGGACCACATGACCCAAAACAACAAAAATATGAGAACTTCAAAAAATAGAAAAAAGTCCATACTGTCCAAAAGCACCAATCCGATAAGTCTCGTTGCCATAAACGAAGGTAAGCGGCGTCGTTCCGTCGGCGGTGGAGAGATGACGCCCTCGAATCAAGCGATCTCTGTGCGCCATAGCAGCATAGTATTCGGCACTCCCCTTCTCCGGCAGCTCATCGGAACCCAGAATTGCCTTGACGGGATCCGAGAATCGGTGGTGGATATCGAACCCGTATGACCCGAACCCGGAACAGGTCCGAGAAACCCAACACAATATGAAAACAGACACTAAAAGACGCGTGGCAGTGAAAGAAGAAGAAGCTCTGATGCAAGTAAAGGCCATGGCTTTATTGATTCAGAATGAGAGGCAGAGCTTTTTGATAATTGGGTTTTGGAGGGCATGAGTTAGAAACAGAGAAATGCGAGCAAATGGGTTTATATGGTGGTTGAGGTTTGGGGGCGGTAACGCGTTCTCATGCCCAAGTCGTCATTGTTGAGAGAGAGAGAGAGAGAGAGAGAGAGAGATATGGCAAGCTGGGAGAGGTGTTTGGTTGTTTAAGTTTGGTCAGTGATAGACGAAATCGCGGGTACGTGGGTCCCATTTTTCGCGTATTCTCAGCTTGGGATGATATTTGAAAGTTGGGAATTGCTTTTAACTGTCCATTTCTTTTCTCCTAATCGTGGATCATGATCCAAGGTAAATCTTGGATTATAATTTATGTTCTAATTTAAAAAAACATTCCTGTCTACCTAATACACGTGGTTTAACCAATAAATGCATATAAGCGAGGTTTATGATACTTACTGATAGGATCCCCCCCCCTCCCTCCCAGCCATGGTAGCCGCCCCTCACTCTCTTTTCCTCACACACACCTTTTTATTTTTACTTGGTTCTATAGTTCGCAGACACATACAAGATTTTCATATGCAGTGTTTAAGGCCAATTGATTTTCAGTTATGAATTTGCATATTTAATTGCAATACCCTGTTAAAAGGATTCAGATTTCATAAAATCTCTTCCTAGGCCTTGTTGAGAGTCAGTAATCCCAAATCAAGGGAGGGAGAGAGGGAGAGAGAGATAGAGAAAGAGCTAGAGAGGCAGTCATGGCTGTTCTTTTGGGGTAGGGTGTTGCGGTACTTTTATTAGGGTTTAGGGAACCAACCCCTTCAGCTAATAAATCAGGTGACTCTCTCTCCCGTCATATTGCAGAGAGATTTTCCTCCCCAGTTTTATGATGAGTTTTGCTTCTCACCAGTTTTGTATTGGGTTTTGTTTATTCCCAATCCTTTTGGACTGACTTTTAAAATCCTTTATGTTGAAGAGATAGAGTTGCTAGATCTAGATGAATATTTCATACTGGGTGCTATGAGATCATGTGAGATGTTGGAGGTGTTATGGCATTCGTTGGCCAAGTGGATATTGAGCGGTAAGACTCTTTCACTTTTGGTGTTTCTGGTTCCCTGTTTAGGCAGAATCAGTTGTTCTCATGATCTCTCTGTAGTATTGGTGTCGTAAGGGGTGCTCTTGATCCTCTATCTGTTAACTCTGAATGAGCTAGGCTTGAATTTGTAATATTTATTATACAAATTTATAAATAAACCCAATCCTAGACATGTATTTATAAAAAAACCCAAGCACTATTTAAACATAGAAACACACCCAAAATCAACCCCAAAGTCAACTTTTTGGGTGTGTTTATAAATGAGTTTTGAGTTTGTGTAATGATTGGTTTTGGGTGTGTTTATAAAGTGTTTTGGGTGTTGGGTTTTTTTATAATTTCAACCTTCATTTTGGGTGTTTTAGTGAAACTCCCTATTTATTATTCACTGTCTTACCGAATTTATTTTTCCTGATTTATTATATGCAAAAACCTCCATCTTGAGTTTGTTAACCCCTTTATTAATGAAATTCTACTTGTTCTCACCAAAAAAGAAAATGCAGGGACTAGTAAACAATAACATTGAAGTTAAAGGATGTGAAAGGAAAAGTGTGATTAATAAGAGGAGTTGGAGGTAGTTGGGTAAACACTAAAACACATTGACTTTGAATTCATAATTGGAAAGCTTAAGCTTGGAAATGAGTGAGATAAATCGCACGCCATGTCAACTATCATCAAGCCACTTGTCGAAAATCAAGCAAAGGATAGGTTTACCTTAATTCCTACTTCAATTTAATGTCTCATGGTATCAACATCATCCTACGACCAAATTTTTGTCCAATCTAATTTTGTCCATTAAATTGTGTGGACGGTACCTAGAACACATGAATTTTTTAGTATTGTATCAAACCACCATCACAATTTAATTATAATTATAAGTAACCCAATTTTTTTAGTATTGGAAACCAATAATAACATTTAGAATTGAATAACATAACCAACAATGGATTTTTTTTTCTTAGGTTTTTATAAATAAATCCATTTTATTATGACATATTATATAAAAGCTCATATAGAACCTAAAAACTCAAAACTAGCCATTTGTTATTTTTTAATTAGACTCTATAAGGATTTTTGTATAATATATCATATTGAAATAGGCTTATTTGTGAAAAAAAAAAAAAAAAAACCCTTTTTTTATGGGTACAAATAAGCAGATGAATAATTGAGAAGGTGGTAGGTAAATTATATAAAGATTCGTTTTATACATAGAGCTTTGAAATAAACACCATGAAAAAAGGGCCGCAATAGGTGCTTGAATTTTCTACTTGTAGAATTTTGGTAGGCTTCTGGGCAATAACATTTGGAATTATATATGAACTATCTTTGACAATCGAAACCATTCTAACTTAGACTCAGGAACCCAAGAAATAGAAAAGAAAGAAAAAACTTAAAACTCAAGGTATGGGATGACCCAAGGTTTCAGACCTTTCACCATCTTTTTCAAAGGAAATGTCAGTTTCATCTTCTCCAAATTTGACACCTCAACCAAAAGGTATGGAATATACCAAAGAACGGAAACAAAAATGAAATTGAAAAAGTTGTCATTTTGCTTTTCGGCTGACTGATTCATCCTTTTACCACCAATCACTCTCCTACTCTTGGAGTTTTTATGCAACTTTTCATTTGGTCAAGTCCACTTACTTACAGGGAGCATTATCAAATTCCATTTACTCTGCAGTGGGGCAATTGGAACTTAGTTTAATGGCACAAAAATGCACGAACAAGAAGATTCCAAGAACAGCTCATAGTCCTCTTTGTATTAATAATGCCATCAGTGTACGATGGACGGACCATAAAAATAGACCAGACTAAGTCGTCTAGAGATAAAGTCCTCTCTCTTTCTCTCTCTCCCCGCAATCCAAAGGCCCAACTGCAGAATTAGCCCAAGTGGTGTGGGAGGTCGGGGTGATTAAAATTAAGATAAATTAAGGGTTCGATTCCCTCCAATGTAACTAAAAAGATAAAGAATCCCGAATGGTTTGTGTTCACATAACAATCTGACATCCAAATGCATAAAATATGAGCTTGATATCTTTAGACATTATAATGACTGAAACATGTAGTATCAAATATTGTGTAACTGTCTATCCAAAGAACAGGATCTCTTGATCCCTGTGAAATTTTCAATTACAACAATAATGTAGAGATGCCTATGCTAGATGATGAAAGGCTAAACATTACGGGGGAAATTGAGGCATTTCACATGGAGAATGTGAGATTTATCCACAGCAAGGTGCAAAAATCTGGCCTGCCCATGAGCTGAGGAACAGAGGTATTGCAAGATTCCCCCAACCATGAAGTATAAGTGGAGCTGATTAGAGAGGATTTACATTAATACACGATGAAAGGATTTGATCTAAATTCTTATAACCTGTGGAACTGCATGACCAGATAAAAAAGATGGCCGCATAACAGCTATAGCCTATAACAATACGAAAAGAAGGATGACAAACCGAAACCAAGTCAGAGGAAAATGGCTATGGCAAGGCAGAGATGCAGCTGAAGTCTGACTATTCCGGGTCTTTTTCGTTGATTCTGGAGTAGAATGGTTACCTAGTCCAACAGCAACAGCAGGAGGCACATTGGTAGAGTTAGGTTTAAAAGGCAAGCTCGTATGGTTCTCAACGTCATAACCTGCATTGGGATCCAAAAATTTGGTCATGCAATTAGTTCATACATCAAGGCATGGAGAATAGCTGTGTGCATAATAAATGAGAGTTAACACCTACAGTCAAACTTCTTCCAGCCCAAAACGAATTTCTCTCGGTCAAATACAACATTGTAGCCAGTCATAAAGTTTTCTGTAGAGACACCAATAACTGAAGCATAAGCCAACATGTAATAGCAATGCAACTAGGATATTTAGATTAAAGTGGGCTATTGATCTGAGAGGAAGAAGCTGATTCATTACGAAAGCCTCCTTGGTATATCATTATGGAGTACCAGGCAACAAAATAACCCAACACACTGAGTAATGGTCAGCTAAGTTAGTCCAAAAGTTAGAGCAGTCACAGCCACTTTGCTGTGAATTAAAATCAACTGCAATGCAAAAGACTTACGTCCAATTATATTTAGTTGCGTACTCTTGACAACAGCCAGGCAATATACCAGCTCGCTCTGCAAATCAACAGCAAGCAAGATATTTATGACCATTCTTGGCAAAACAACAAATAAAACTGGGGCAAAAAAACAAAGCATTACCTGGGTGGAGATGACAATAATCGGATCATAGACTGCAAACTGGCCCCCACCTTTCATGGTTAAACTTAGACTAGGTATAAAACTAGCATTTGCATCAGAACTGCACATTGAAATAATTTTTTTAGGAATAGAAGAAATTTTAAAGCTGGAGGTAGAAATGGAGACAAATAAGTACACAAACCTCATATCGTAACAATATTCAAATGGGATCCTTGGGTCAGGTGGACGACGCTTATCTCGAGCCATTGAATTGAACTGCAAAATTCATAAAGCATCAACTATTGAATTCTATGTCCATGTGTGTGTACATGGTGTTCTCTTGTCCGACATACTGACGTGTGTTGTCAATTGACTGTCTGATAACATAAAGAAGTAAAATCATTTACAACACTTAAATGCTTACACTCTCTGAAAGCATTGTATAAGTTGGGTCACCCAAGTATGTGAAAGACGTCCCAGAATCAAAAAGAGCTGTGAAGTCAATGTCCATAAGATCTGTTCCCACTCGAATTTGAGTTACGGTGATGTTATAGGTTGGACTGTAACATGCGTCCCATTATATGACATAAAAACAACGTTAAAACCTCCTTTCATGAAAAATTAATTATGAAAAATCAGCATCAAGTATCTGAGAAGTTACCACTTACTGTGACGGGTTGACATTAAATGGGGTCTCTTCCTGGTCAGGACTCCCCTTGTCACCAAAATTAATTCTCCCAACCCCATCATGTCCAAAACACATGGAAAAAGAATCGGCTGTAAAGCCTTCCCGGGACAAAATACTAGGAACAGAAATCTTCTCCATACCAAGCCCAAACAAACCATTAGGCGCTGCAACATCCAGGAAAGAACCACTTTGCACCTGTCCACAACTGAACAATTTACAATGCATTTTCAGCTACCAACATGAGACTAAAACAAAAGGAACAAAAAGAAGTCCAAAAATTATGATGACAGAGCTCACCCAAAGGTAACGTATGCCTCAACAAGTTCCCGATGACTATCTTCTGTTTTTAGGTGCAGAACATCCTCTACCAATATCCCAGAAGTAGAAGTTTCAGCTGAGACATAAGAGACCATGTAAGGGCAATTGTTGAATGAACCCATACATCTATTACGGTGTGCACACAAACTGTTGTTGCAACTGACTCTTTTGCTTGTTGACGACCCTTCAGGGTCATATTTGCTAACCTCAAAATCCTGCCACAGTAAATCATATGTATTTACTAACTGCTAAAGCAGAAAGAGTAATAGATGAATGCATCAGGAAATTGATATCACCATTCTTGTCCTTTACACCCAAAATCATAACAAGATCTCAGAGTGCCATTCTAAACCACCTACCCTTTTTTGCTACAAAAATGATACACTAGTAGCTACATTTTCCTACTATCCAACTAATATGACATAATCTGCATAACTTAGAATTTGATTTCTCTCTGCCAACTCTAAAAAGATAGATAAACAAAGGAATACATAGTTTTCATTTGCTAATTATTTGATTAGTCTTGAAATCAGATGCCGGTGTGTGACCAACTCAAATACAAGTTACATTTTCTTGATAAAACTGAAACAAGTCGGCATATTAAAAGCAAATCAAACAGACACCAAATTCAAATGACACTGTCATCAACAGTTCCACCATCTAAACGTGCACATGGATTGGAATAGAAAGAATTTATCTTTTGTTAACATAATTAAAGAAAGAAAAGGTCCAAAAACTGATAGTGCAGTACTTACAGGAGCATAAGCAGTGCCTTCACAAGGCACCCAAAACAGATCACTCCCTGTATCAAGCGCCACCATAAACTTCATTCCCGGCGTACCCAATTGCACCGTGGTGTAATGCAGGCTACAAAAACCTCCCCAAATATAAAATGTAAATTAATTAAATTAAATTCGCAATTAAACTCCAAGAATTTAGTTAACAAAATTGAAGCTTTAGAGACAGGCATTGATAGTAACACAAAGAAACGTACAATCCCAAGGAGCTGATCCGAAAAGTCGAGTTGCCATCAGAGAAAGCTAGCGGAGTAGTAGTGTCGCTCTGGTCGCTCTGGGCGAGCTTGCGGCCGCGAAGAAAGCGATCGCGGCGGGCCAATTCCGCGTAGTACTCGAAGCTTCCCTTCACCGGAAGGTTGTGGGGCGGCGAGAGTTTCCCGGCGATGGCCGACCACTCCTTGACGGGGTCGGAGAAGCGGTGGTGCATCTTGAAGCTGAAGATGCGGCCATGGCAGCTCTGAAGGCCCAAGATTGACAGAAAGAAAAGGAGGACGACAAAGTTACAGAGATCAGTAAGCATCTCTCTTTGAAATTTTCTTGAACCCTAGAAAGATTTGCATTGGGGAAAGAAGAAGACAACGAGTGGATCGAGAAACAGTGGAAGAGAAGATCTTGGAAGACGAAGAAGAAAGTGCGTTTGGTGAAATGGAGTGAGTGAGAGAGTTTGCTTTGCTCTGCTGCACTGTTGGTTAGTTTTTGGCGTTTGTAGCGGTGGGTCCCGCAACATGATTTTAATTTGACAGTTGAAGAAGTTATTCAACTCGGAAGTGTGACTCATTGGATTGCGCGAAATCCTGACTTCGAAGGAAAAAAGGACGAATTGCGATTCGACGCGTGTCAAATGTGTTTTTAACCTGGGGACATTTTCAACCTTTTTTTGGAGGGAAAAAATCTACTACCTTATCCGACGGTCCGGATCAAAACGTGGTTTATTAATCATGAATGAAAATACTCGAAGCTCTTGCATATTTGAGAAACAAAGTGTAGCAAAAAAACAAAATTTATTTAGTACCATACATTAAAATTTTGATTGGTATTTTAACTTTTGGTTCTACTAATAATTTTCCTTGGTATATTTTGTCACAAGTTCAACTTGAGCAATTTCAATTTCAACAGGTTTATGGATAAGTAAATATGGTTGCAAACTCGTTACTAAATTTAGGACATACTTTCACTCAACCATGTGTTAAGATTTGTTTCGATATTCAGAATATTGAGATCCGATGAGAATTTCGTGTAATTTTGCTTTTTCATAAAAAGGAAAATAAAAAAGATCGTGAGAAAATATTGACTGCTTTTCTGATTACTTGTATTCATTTGTTAGGATTCTGATAATATATATATATATATATATATATATTCATTTGAAGTGGCCACACATAAAGAATTGAAAGTAGAGGCCTTGTTATTATTATCACAATCATATATACAAGACAAATTTGAGGTACTCATCATATATACAATTTGATACTCACAATTGAAAGGTTACAAAACTTTTACAAATGAACACTACAAAAACCGAACCCTGAAAATTCAGGGAAACAAAAACTCTCATTCTTCCAACAAATCGGGAGACGACGTCATTTCTGAGGCTGATCACACTGGAGAGGCAGAGGTACTAAAACCAAATTTATCTGAGAGCTTTGTTCTTGTGAATGGAGAAAGAAGTTCCATCTGATGAAGAAACTGCACATCATGAACCAGAGGGTTATTTGTTCTGCCTGGTGGAGATCCTGAGTAACATGCTGGTGAACACTTGGTGCATACATATTCCCTCCCATCAAATATTTCCTGCACCAGGTCCCGAGTTCAAATTTTATAAACGACAATCATTTCTATTCGAATAATAAGAAGTAAATATGATTCAGAAAGGGTGAATGCTAACCTTTTCAGTGATCATATTCAGAATTCCACTTCTTTCATCGGAATTTTGTTGGCTGGTTACCAAAAAAAAAGTAAACAGAAAAGAGCTTCATAAGTTGGTAATCTATGGGAAAATGAAAAGCCAGGAACATTTTTTTCGTTAAAAATCATGGAACCCAAAAACAAAGGTTAAAGCAACAAAATAAAATTAATTAGGACCTGTGCTTGTTACATCTTTGAGGCTTGAGGAATTCAGGTATGGCAGGGCCAACTCTACGGGGCCTGGGGCAGAGAGGCTGATCATGATTGCCTGCAGAGCCAAGCATGTTTGTCTCTGCGGAAGCCAAATCAAGAAGATTGCTTTTCTTCACACCTAAATGGTGCATAATTTTTATCTTCTATATCTTCTGCCTTTCTTTTAACAACAAAATGAAGAAGAAGAAGAAGAAGAAGAAGAAATCAAAGTCACAAGTACTAGAAAAGAAACGATTAACTTGTGACTGGCAATGCAACTGTTGCTATTTATTTTACTCTCATTGAAATGGTAATTAATATAATAAAACCTGCCCAATTTATTTAAATATTAGCCACACATTTAAGAGAGAGAGAGAGAGAGAGAGATGAGAGTGAGAAATTAGTGAGAAGTGGAGCCACATTTTGGTTGTAAACCCTGTTCAACTGTTCAAGTATTGTAGAAAGAGCCTCTTGAAGAAGCAAAGCATTTGCTTGGCCAAGAGTGGAGTTAGGATGAGTCTTGGCTTTTGATCTCCTAATATTCCTCAATTTCCCATCTTCGCCTACGATTTTTTTGGTCCGGGTAAGTTGCACTAATCCCATTATTGAACCATTCTTTTTTCCAAATTTTATCATCATCAAGTGCATGTTTTAAATATTCTCACATCAATCTAGAACCTTATTGTTCTCTTCTTGCAAAAATGCATTGCAAGAGTAATGGAAGAAAATACCGAATTCAAATCACCGTAATCAAAAATTAAAAAAACTGGCTGATGCCAAATACTTGCAATCTTTAAAATATGAAAAATTGTCATAAACACATAAATTGCCACAAACGAACACATAATTTTTTTCTTCTTCTTCATAATAACGCCAATATGGACAATAACTACGGTGCAAGTTACAAAGTGAAACAATTGGTGAGTAATAGTATTGTAGCTCAAATTATGAATAATATATATCCCAATCAAACTTGGGCTGTGAATAGACCTCATAATCGATGGTTCCATCCACAACAACACTGTCTACAGTTTGTATGCCTTCCAAAAGGGCTGGATGAAAACTATCATTCTGGGAAGGCAAGAGTTTATACATTACTAATAACCCAAGTGTGAATATGGCTTGCAGCTTTGTTGAGTCTCCATGGACAGAAAAGAACAAAAGCATTGCGAGCAGGAACAAATCAACACAAAAACGCATGATGCACAATACTGTATCCATCAACTTCCCATCATTCCCAGCAGGAAATCCCCGGACCCTATAGACAAAGAGAAAGTTGTACTTATCAACCACATACCTATACCCAAAATATACCGCACCAACAGGAACCACTAGTGGAGCAAAGGAAGAATATATAAAGGTCAGGGCGAATATCGTCAAATTAAACGCATAATATTGTGCGAAATCGAATGTCTGCTTCGGGGCTGTTGAGGTTCTGTTGATGGGATATTCAGAAAGATCTTGTCCCGGGAGATCAATTCCATTCAGTCTGGGAGAGTCATATGTGAGATCCACAATCAAGGGCCTCTCTAGACTATCAGTTTCCTGAGTTTCTAATGGATATTCTTCACTTTGTTCTGGTACCAGCTGCAGCATGTCATTCTTCCGAAACTTCTGAATCTTCCTTTTTATCCAAGGGATTGGAGCCAGTAGATCATACGATATTCCCAGAAAAGTACTTGTTATCAAAAATGCAAGAGAGGAAAGGCATGATCTTGACAAAAATGATGCACTCATGTACTGTTCAATCCTCTTGCAATCTTCTCCGTCCAAATAGCACCTTCCCATCTTTAGGATGGCACTCTCTAAAGATGATTCAACCAGACCCTTAAGAAGAATAAGATTCACCAGGAAGAAACAAACCATCTTAAGAAGTGCAGCTCTTTGCTCCCCTGACACTGTAAGATGCCGCTCAAACTTAGAGAGATAGGAAAGTGCTGATGGTATTATTATATACATGCTTATAAAAATGAACACATTGGGTAAAAACTGAAAGATAAGACTCCCAAGCCAGCTTGAGCTTTGCATCCAAGCTAACCACAACTGGGCGTTATCCATAGCTTCAGCATTTATAATCCGCCAGGCATTCTTGAAAGCACTAACAACTGCAAGAGGAGAACTAAAGAACAGGAGAATCAACAGCAAGCATGTGTTCACCAACACTCTCCGCAATTTCAGTGAGACTTTTGACGATCCCAGATGATTCCAGTAAATATCTGTTGCCAAGGGTGCCTGCTCAACTTTCCATTGGTTCCGTTGTAAACGCAACTCCACGAGAGAAAAGAACTTCCCTATCCGACTCTTCTTCTCATGTCGAAAGTCCT